TCCCCCCCCCCCCTTCCTCCCCCCCCTCCTCCTTCCAAACCTCAAGGTCCTTAGCAATCTTCCCCCTCTAGATTGTACGGAAACACTCAAGCCTTTTGCATTACTGCAGCCCTACAAACCAACACAAAATATCTAATATACAATTACAGCGTCCCCGAACAGATTTAAAATCAATATCCTCCCATCATAACGCTGGGGAAACTGAAAGCATGATGTTGCATATGGGCAGGAAGGAAGAGACTGTTTGTCACTGCAAGCATCAAATTCTCATCTATCAAGGGCTTGTTAAAGATGCAGCATCTTAAAATAAAAGAAAAAAATCTCACAAACAAGCACCATATTTGAGCGAGTATACGTTGCATCTGCCTGTGAGTCAACACGCATGCAAAGCTGCTGCAATTTGCCCAAAGTGTGTTGGTTAAGAAAGGTTACAAACCCCCCTGGCGCTATTTATAAGAACAACAAAATTATTTATGTTCCAGGGGACATTTTAAGCCAAGCAACTGTCCCTCACACTCAGAATCACTCCACGTTACTTTGAATTCAGCTAAGCAAGCCCAGGTCCCTGCCTTGGCATTGTATTCATCAGGAGATCCAGAGCACAGATCTGTGGCTGCCACAGGCTGAGCAGTGTCGAGAGCAGACAGTCAACGTGCCGAGGGCAGAGCCTGCCAGGCAATGCCTTTATCCAAAGAGCAATTCTGGAACTCTGCAAAGTTACAAGTGGCATTTCAAGGTTTTAAAGAGCACAAGCTGCCTCCGATCTTATCTTGCCATGACCCTGTCACCCAGCCTGTTAACAAAACTGGCACTTGGAGACAACCGCAGAGGCTTGCAACCATCCATAACCAAAAGCAAAGTAAATACAACAAAACGGTGGCAACTGGAAAGCAGATGGGAAAGGACAGAGTCAGCCGGTGACAGCACTTTAGTTTTCTCAGCACTTCACATCCCAGGTGTTGAGTCAGCCTTTCAACAGCATTTGAATTTTATCACTCCACCTGCCTCAGTTTACCCTTGAATAACTTCTCCAAAGCCACAGACAGTATCGGGTTGCCAAGCCAGCATCAAGGCTATGAAGTACCTGGCCACACAGCACAAAGAGAGTCACAAGCTCCCTCCCCACGGAACGCTTCATCCTTCATGGTGATTTTCCTGGAAATGTTAGTCTGATGCTGCAAACCCTCAGCGCTGGAGGCCAAGATCATATATCCTCCTCAGAAGTGTTCTCATCCGGGATTTGTGGCTTTGAAACAACAGAAGTCCCATTGCTCAGCTCACCCCTCCCAGCCTGGGCAGGAGGCAGCAAAACCCAACAGGGCTTGTTCTTATGTACTTCAGGCAGAAGAGACGCCATGGAAGAACTGGTGACAGAAGCACCAGCTACATGTGACAGCAGTTAGAATATGAGCAGTAAAGATGCCTTCATTTCACAACTCTGCCAAGGCACCTCATTACCCTCCTATCACTCCTTCTCTCTTGCTATTCCGCTCCCACCCCCACGCGCCCATCTGCCAGCAGACATTCGCTCTGACTAGCACCGTGCCCTGCTATTCCCAGACACGTCAGCAGGACAGGTTGCAAGTCCCATCTTGCTCCCAACCGGCTGCACTTGTGCTGGGGAAGACCAAGATCACACAATAACTCTGAAGCGGCAGCAACTCCATCAGACCCATGCCCCACCAGCCTCCAGAACACCCACTCCGCAGCACGCCTGCCAGCGAGCTGGCAGCTGCATGAACAGTCAGGTGTGACAGCCTGCCACCACCGGCATGCCACAGCGACAGGTCCCAGATGTCCTGCAGTTGAGATTTGAACTGGGCCCTCCAGAGAGATCCCACATTAGTGTATTAATCTCTAGAACGATCTGCAGCATTTTCCTTCCAGCATCTCAGGTTCACGTTGTACCAAAGCACCAAATCCCACACACTGAGTTTGTATTTGGGTTGCTCCCCAGCAGTTTTTATGGCAGCCAGTTAGATCACAGAACGAAAATTTTCCCTTTTTTTTTCCCCCCCCTTTGTTTAAGGCAAAGTCCTGGGATGTGTCAGAGACTGCCTCTGTCCCCAGAAGTGTGGGGACTAAATCAACAAGATATACAGGAAGCAAGGAAAAGGGAATAATTATCATCAGTAGCCAGTATGGAGGCACAAAGATCTATCAATCCACCCCAAATTTACTGAGTCAGTAGGAGAGCACATGACTGAATAGCAATCTTTTGAATTCCAGCCCAGCGTTACAAGAAGTCATACCCCCCTCTTCGCTTTCTTAGCTGCAAAGCAGGGAAGACGAAGGTCACATTTTCATTAGTTACTTAGTAAACTCACAGATTCTGGGGTACAACCTAAATGGCAAGGTATTTGTATTACAGCACCAATCCTTTCCTCTTTACAACTTAAACCATAATGCACAGCTTCAGCATACCACTTACACCAGCTGAACACATGCCCTTTTACAGGAGCCCGTACTCTAAATTCATCCCTTTATGTCCACGTGCCATTCATCCAACCATTCTTTATGCTCACACGCAAAGAACCAGGACAGTGGTCGAAGGCATTGGGATGGGAGCATCCACAGTCCATCTCCCCTGACTTTGCAGCACCAGCAAAACCAAATATGTTTTGCAAATGAGTTGGCAGCGTAGCTTCTGCATTTCTTACCACTCTCACAGACAAGTTGTGCATTTCAAGTACATTGCTACTCATTGACCAGAAAGCCCAAAGGTAGCTCTTTGCTCAGCCCATGCAGCTGCAAAAGGCAACACTCCACCTTAGACAGTGGATGGGGAGGGATGGTTGTGGGGCTTCCCCCCCCCCCTTTTTTTTTTGTTCCCCAAATCCCTGCATTTGCCTCCTCTCTCCTGCCTTCTAAAAAGCATTTCAGTTGAAAGGAAGCCAAATCAGGGCAGTTTTTTAATATTAAAGCTGAAAATGAAAGACATTATCAGTAGAACTGTAATGTTATGAAGCTAAGCCAGGCAATAATACAAGTAAGGAGTGCTAGAGGAAGCCCAAGCATACTGATCACTTATTGCCACCAGTGCAACACAGCCCTGACCACACAAACCCCCCCCAATCTTCCGTGCAGGTCCCCAGATCCTGCATTGCATTCAAGGCTCCTGCTAGCCTGACAAGGCAGTACAGAAAGTGATCCAGAGAGGTTTTTGGAAACAAAGTCCAATATTTTCCCCAAAGATCTAGAAATCAAAGTGGATTTTGTTCCCCGCCTTTCATCGGAAGGGAAGAGAAAGTCCAGCGCTCACCTGTGGCACTTCTACAGTGAAACATGGATAGAGACAGGCCAGGAGGGCAGGTCAGCTGGAGGAGGACAGCACTTCTGTCCCCATGCAGAAGTATCACCCAAAGACCTTGCAACCATAAAGAGAAAGGATGCGTGTATGGCACCATAAAACGAGCTTTGTGTAGATGCCAGGGCAATATGGGTTTTATCTAATCACAGCCCTCTTTGGACTTGAGACACACTGATTAGAGGCCATGGGTGGAAACGTCACCTCGAAGTAACAGTGCTTTGTACTCCTGCGTTGCCTCTAATCCTCAGCCTCCCAGCACTTGGCAGAGCTGGGTGACTTGACAGTCATGTTCACCAACACGTCTAAGAATCCCAAGCCTCGTTATCAGCTTTGAAGAGAGGACTTGGGAGCCTAAGTCAGCTGGAAGATTAGAAAACCTGTCTCTAGGTTTCCCCAAAGACGGAGGGACTGTATCTGCACTCTTTACAAGGGCATCTGCAGCAGAGAAGATGCACCAAGGACACACACTGCACCGATGGCAGGGTGAGAACTGAGCCTGCGTCCCGGTGACTGAGCACAGGGTTTCACCTGGAGAAGGGAAATGAATAAAGATGAGGTGGTCACAAAATTTTTGCCCTCCCAATGTTGTTAAATGGGTGGACTATAGAGCGAGTCCCAGTTACGGCCAAGGGATTGCACCAAGTTTTTCTGCACTGTGTTATGCTACAGACACAACGGGAAGAGATCAAGACCCATCTCACGCTCCCTATCCATATCATTGGTTTTGCTCTGAAAGCTTCTTGGACCCAGAAGTCCTGAGTAAACAGAGAACTGAGCCAATTTACATGGGAAATCACCCAGTCTCAGATAGCCAACATCTAACAAGAAGAAAGTCCTTTCTTCACCTCCTTTCACATTATTTTAAGAGGAAAACATCCTCCCTTGCTCTTAATTCCCCCATCAAACTTAAACCCTGGAGATGACAATTCCCACTGACCAGTCTGAAATGTCTTGGCAGCATCTCCGTTTACTCAGCTCTCCCCTTTCCTTTGGCACAAACAGGGTACCACCAGAGGAGCTGCTCTGCTCAAGCTCTGGTGCTCCAGCCCTGCCGCTCAGTCTGTTCCTGTGCCCAGTGTGACAGGTTTGCAGGGACCGCGGAGACTGACTTCCCCAGCGATGGGCTTGTGCCTTTGTAAGAAGCTGCACCAGCTTGCCGAGTCCCAGCAGGCCCAGAGCTGCTCTCAACAAAGG